AGCAGATGACATTTAAGTAAAGACCTGATGGAAATAAGGGAGCTGGCACTGATGAGACCTTAGGGTAGAGCATTCCAGAAGTGGAAATAGAAAGGCTAAGGCCCTGCCTGAAGCAGCAATGTGTTTACTGTGTGTGAGGAACAGAAAGGATAGTGTGGCTAGAGTAGAGTGGTGAAAGGAAAAAATGGTAAAAGATGAGGTCAGAAAGCTAATGAGGGTGGGGGATCAGATCATGTAGAACCTTGTAGGCCATAATAAGACCTACAGTTTTCAATCTGAGTGTAATGAAAACATATGGAGAGTTTTGAGCAGAGGAGTGAAATGAGCTGGCTTATATTTTAAAAGCATCGCGCTAGCCGTAAAGAACTGACTGTAGAAGTACACCAGCAGAAGCAGAAAAACCAGTTAGGAGATGCCTATAATCCAGTTGAGAAATTATGGTGGTTTACACTGCAGTAGAAGTGGTGGAAATGGTGAGAAGTGGATAGTCTGAGAAATGAGTGAAAAGGTTTGCTGATATATTAAATGTCGAATGCAAGTAGAATCAAGAACGGCTCCAAGGTTTTTGGCCAAAGGTCCTAGAAAGATAGAGTTATCGTTTACTGAATGGGGGAAAACTTCAAGAAGAACAGATGGGGAAGGGGAGAGTTCAAGGAAAGAATTAGGACTTCAGTTTTAGACCTGTTAAATCTGAGATGTCTATTAGATATCCAAGTGGAGATACTTTTGTAAAGTGTTGGAGATACGAGATAAGATTTTTTTTTAAGACCTAAGGGATGAGAAAAGTTAACTTTGAAAGAATGGGGTAAAGAGCATTGTAGCCAAAGGGAATATGAGAGCCTAAGGCAGGAAAGTCTGGCTTACTAAAGACACTGAAAGAAGGCCAGTGAGCTTACACAAAGGGAAACTAGACAAGAGGAATAAAAACAACAAAAAATGATTTTTAAAAAGAGCGTCACTGTTACACAGTAATAGATAACGAATACATATTTTGGTATCTGAATGCAATGGACTGAATTGTGTTCCCCCAAATCCAAAATTCATATGTTGAAGACCTAACCCGCAATGTGACGGTATTTGGAAATGGGGCTTTGGGGAGGTAATTAGGGTAGATGAGGTCGTGAAAGTAAGGCCCTCATGATGAATTAGTGCCCTTGTAAGAACTCTTATAAGAAGAAAAAGATGTTTCTTTCTCTCTCTCTCTCTGTGTGCCCACAAAAGAAGAGATCATGTGAGTAAACAGTGAGATGGCATCTGTCTACAAGCTAAGAGAAGAGACCTCAGAATAAAAGCTAATAGCACCTTGATCTTGGACTTCCTAGCCTCTAGAACTATGGGAAATAAATTTCTGTTGTTTGAGCTACCTAGTCTATGATATTTTGTTATGGCAGCCCAAGCAGACTAATATACTGGAAATGGAGTTACACCGAACAATAATGTAAAATATGTGCATGGCTTTGGAACCAGGAGGTGGGTTTTAAGGAAATTACTAGCGAAAGCCTAAAGTGCCTTGAAGAAACTACTAGTAGAAGCCTTGTGGTCCTTTGAAGATGGTGAAAGGCAAGGATTTGCAAAAGATAAAACCTTACTGAGGACTAGAGAAAAGGAGATCCTTGTTACAATAATAGCAGAAATTTTAGTAACACTATTACCTGCAATTTTGTGGATAATAGATAATAAGGAAAATATTGAAGTTGCCACATGGTTTCTTCCTGCTGTTTATAGTAAAACTCTATATTGCTATATTGAGGAAAGAATTGTTTAACAAAAAGAATTCAGGACTTGATGGTTTTGAAAACTCACAGCCTCTCAAGGTGGGAAAAGAGGCTAAAATTGAAAAATGGCCTTTGAACAAAGATCAAATCCACAGCGCTGCTGGGAAAACATGGTCCAAAGATGAAGCCCAAGGTGTGACAAATCTTTTGGTAAGGTCTCAGAAAGATCAAAAGTGATGCCTCAGAATATGGTTCAAATAGAAAAAACCCTCTAAAGAGAAAAAGTCTGTGCCTCACAAATCCTCTCAATCAAACAAAGGGCTGCTAGGAAGCTTAAGAATGTTATCCCTGGGCTGGCCTGGTGGCATAAGCGGTTAAGTGTGCGCACTCCACTTCGGCAACCCGGGGTTCCAGGCTTTGGATCCCAGGCGTGCACCAACGCACCGCTTGTCACGCCATGCTATGGTGGCATCCCATATACAGTAGAGGAAGATGGGCACAGAAGTTAGCTCAGGGCCAATGTTCCTCAGCAGAAAAGAAGAGGATCAGCATAGGATGTTAGCTCAGGGCTGATCTCCCTCAAAAAAAAAAAAAAGAATGTTGTCCCTCAGCCATCTCAGAAGGGATCCAAGGTAGAAGAGGGCTTATCTCAAAGAGATTTTTTGGTGTAGCTTTTAGTCTAATGGAATGAATGACCCAAAAAGATTCACAGGAGAAGCACAAAGTTCTTAAGATAAAAATAATCTACAGAGAGGATTCTCGGGTGTTTGCATTCTATTTTTACCTGGGAGGTGCTTTAGGTCACAGTTATGAGATTTGTGAGAATTTACTAAGCTGTACATTTACGTTTTGTGCACTTCTCTGTATTGAGTTATAATACACAACAATGACAAATTTTAGATTTAAAAAAAAATGCTGGGTTCAACCCACAGAGTTAATTCCATAATTTCCTAGCAGGTCACAAACCGCAGTTTGAAAAATTCTGATCTAGGGTAAGAGCTGTAGTAATGAAAGGAAATGGAAGGAAGAAACATGGTTTGGAGTTTGCAGGTAGAACTGATAGGACGTAGTGAGGGACTGGAATGGAGGAGGGGGAAGAAGCGTCAAAGATGACTCATGTTCCTGCTTTGAAAATCTGAATGGATGAAGTGCCACTTACTGAGATGAGGAAAACTAGGGAAGGAGCAAGTTTAAGAAGATGAGAAAACAGAATTAAAAGTTTGCATCTGAACATGTTAAATTTGAAATACCTGTTAAATATACAAGCAGAGATGTCAATATGCCAATTGGATATAAAAGTATAGAGGCCATCACTGACTATCCTAGGTTTGCCCCCCTCTCCCCACAAGTACATTATTTTGTTTTATTTTGTTCACAGGACTAATAATTATCTGAAATTATCTTAGTTTTTTTCAAGTGTTATTGTCTCTCCCCTATTCGAAATTTAAGCAAAATCTCACATCTCATCTGCTTATTTATTGCTTGTGAATGAATACATTAATGTCCCTAATTCTTTTTCCCTCTTGAATGTGGTCTGACTTTGCATTTTCCTACCACAAAAGAAGTGGAATATATTTCCCTATCCCTTGATTCCAAGTTTGCCATGTGACTTGTTTTGGTCAACAGCTTAAGTCTCAAAAGGCCTTGCACATTGCAGGTTACTCTCTTGTGCTTCTGCCAGCACCATGAAAATGACATGCCAGGGCTGGCCTTCTGGTCCCACGAGGACAAGAGACATATGACTCAGCCAAACAAGACTAGAACAGGGTCTCCAATCAACCTATAGTCATATGATTGACCTAGACAAGAGGAGCTGAGCTCAGCTCAAATAAGCTGATTCCCAATCTACAAACTTGTAAACTATAATAATAAATAATCATTGTTTAAAATCACTGAGTTTTAGTGTGGTTTATTACACAGCAATAGCTAACTGATACATTGCTATATTCCAGTGCCCAGAACGATGCCTGGAATATAACGAGAGCTCAGTAATACTTTAAATAAATTATTTAACTGAAAAGAAAATGGACAAGGAAGAGCCAAAGAAGTAAAGGAAAACCAGGAGAAGGAAGTGTCATGGAGGCCAAGAGAAGAGACTGTTTCAAGAAGGAAGTAATCAAAAGGGACTAATGGTGCTAAGGTCTGTTAAATTAGGATTGAAAAGTATTTACTGGATATGGCAACATAGTGATGAATGATAGCCTTGAGAAAGGGAGGAAGCCAGATTGAAATGGACTGAGTTAAAAATGGTAAGAAATAGCTACAAGAAAGAAGATTCCCATGGCCCCAAACTAGCAGTGCTCCTCTATACGATCCCATCATTCTTCCTTGAAGATTTTTTTCCTTTCTAATTACTTGATCTTGGCTATCAAACCCGGGACATTTTTCCTGCAAAGAATAGGAATGCTGAAATTTCAAGCGTGATTATTTTCTTTCTTATCTCACAGTACACAACAAGGTACTGGTTCAGGGTCATATAACAACAACAAAAAATTCTATCTGCACTATCCCATGCTTTAACTGACCAGCAAAGGGAAGCCAATCATTGACCATCAGTCAAAAAACTAGAATGGTTATCAATAAAATAAAAATCAACTGGGGCCGGCCCAGTGGCGCAGGCAGTTGAGAGCGCACGCTCTGCCGAGGCGGCCCGGGGTTCGCTGGTTCGGATCCTGGGCGCGCACCGACGCACCACTTGTCGGGCCACACTGTGGCGGCATCCCATATAAAGTGGAGGAAGATGGGCATGGATGTTAGCCCAGGGCCAGTCTTCCTCAGCAAAAAAAGAGGAGGATTGGCAGATGTTAGCGCAGGGCTGATCTTCCTCACAAAAAAAAATAAATAAAAATAAAAATCAACTATGAAATTTAAATCTCATAAAACACCATGGAATGACAGATGATGATGGACTCCTGATGGATTCAAGTACTAAGAATAAAATTTGGTTATATAACTCCATTATCAAGAGCAAGCTTTACGTCTCATTATAATATTTAGAACTGATGAACCTCAATTTATAGTCCATGATTAAAGGAGAGAAGATTTATGTTATTTTTCCAATTTCAATTTCTTGTTTTGGAGCATTCTAGGTACTTCCTATATGATATCTTATATATAAATACTTTCTCTACAACTAAATTCTATGCAGACTACTTCTTCAACTTAATTCAAAAACCATTTGTTATCTTACATATCTTGGCATCCTTTACAGTTCCTTAATCAATACCTACTGTTTCTCATCACATGTCTATAACTACCAATAAGCCTTCAAGTTTTTTGACATACCATATTTTTCCATGTGCTCTTTTCCAGCACCCCCAAACATCTGAGGAGTAACTGGTTCAGCAGATAATCCATACTTATTGATCAGGACCTCAAGATGTTTATCAATTGGATTGGTCCTATCTGCAAACTAAGAGAAAGGAAAAAACAAAATTTAGTAAGTATTTGACATAAGTATCTCTTTCAACTATTACAGTGTTACTAAGACATTTGCTTATTCTAAGTGCAGAGCAAACCAAAAATGGACATTGTGAATAAAATCAGTCAGGAAATGCTTTGCAGGGAAACATGGAAAGGAAAAATAATCAAGTGACCAAAGAGGTATTCATTTTTTCAAGAAATATTTATCAAGAATCCTGTATGTGTCAGTTACTACGCAAGGTGATACAATAGTGAACAAAACAGATAAAGTTCCTGCTCGTCTGGTGTTGACATTTGGGGGGGAGGGGACAAAAGATGATGAGGAAGAAAATAAATAAAAATGTAAATAATAATGCAATAAAGAATAAATCTGAGTAAGTGGATAAAGATCGTTGTGGAAGTGTTATTTTATAGACAACAGTCAGGGGAGGTCTCACTGATAAAATGATATTTGAGCAGGGATATGAGGGAGTAACAAGTCATTCATTCGGAAAACCTTGAGAGAGTAGCATCCTGGGCAGAGGGAACAGCAAGAACAAAGACCCTAAGGCAGGAGCATACTTAGGTGTTTGAGAAACGGAGTGGATTAGGATAAACTGATACTCAGAGAATGTAATCATCTCTGTTTCCATGGTTCTAGAATAGAAGGACCTAGTTCCCACTGCAAATATTCTGCAAAGGGAAAGCTAACTATTTCTTGTCAGTTTATCTACTAGACTATGAACTCCCTGAGGGTTGGAACTCTTTTTCCATATACCTTTGTATGTATAACCAATGCCTAGCATGTGGCCTTCCATATAATAAACATTCCATAAATAATTGTTGAATGAATAAACGAAGATTTTTTTTTTTGATCTACAAAGGGGTTCTAGAGGGAATACCGTTTAGACATTCTCTTTGATTAAGGCTAAAATAGGCTTAAAGGAAGAAAATCATTTGATTTGATATGATAAACAACTTGACAATACAAAGGATAAAGACAAATGAGCTGAAGGATAAAGACAAATGACCTGATAAACGGGTCTTGTGGACTCTCTAAACACAGAAATCTTAAAAATAAGTGTACATAAATATGTTTGGATGACATAGGTGAAAATTTTTTTCTGTCAAAAGACATTTTAAAAAACATACAGAAAATGTTCATATCTAAGTCAAAAAGAAATGCTAATTAAAACAGTAATATACAACTTTCTGCTTCTAGTCATAATGAATTATAGAAACCAGAATTACCCTTCTATCTTACACAACTAAAATCCTGGACAAAATATACAAAGCAACTGTTTTCAGGCAAATGGACAACATAAAGCATAATGAAGTGATCTCTGAGGGAAGGGAAATAAATAAAACGAGCATTATGATTGTCCCCAGATTACTACCTGGAAAGAGTAGGGAAGAGTAACAGAGTCCAGCAGTCTCTCGAAGTTAAATAAACAGAGTTAGGAGTTCAGAGAGACCAGGGCATCTCTGTGCATCTAGAATGCACAGAGAAGAGGACTGGAGAGGAGAGACAGAGAGGGCTCTCTGCAGATCTGAAGAGGGTTCCCCTTGAGTCTTAAGTGAATCTGATCAACACATGAGCATGAGGAAACTACTGAGACCAGGGAATGAATCACTAGAACAGAAGAGGCAGAACAATTCCCAGTGCTCTCACAGAGCCAGGAATAGTTCTTATTCCCAAAAATCACAGTGGAAAGATCTCTTAAAACACAGGGCATCAACAGAATACTGAGGTTACTAGGGTCAGTTTAGCCTTAGAATAAAGGCCGTTCTGATTCTACCCAACAGAGTTTAAAAGCAAATCTCAGAAGGATCAAACCATTTCTTAAAAAAAAAACTGCCCCAGAACAAAACCCCAAATAGTCAAAGTAACAGAAAAATTCAACACCAAATAAAGTAAAGTTTACAATGTTTAGCATTCAATCACATATTACAGGGCTGGCCCCGTGGCTTAGCGGTTAAGTGCGCGCGCTCCGCTGCTGGCGGCCCGGGTTCGGATCCCGGGCACGGATCCCGGGCACGCACCGAGGCACTGCTTCTCTGGCCACGTTGAGGTCACGTCCCACATACAGCCACTAGAAGGATGTGCAGCTATGACATACAACTATCTACTGGGGCTTTGGGGGGAAAAATAAATAAATGAAAATCTTTAAAAAAAAAAAAAGTTTAAAATAAATAAATAAATAAATAAATAAATAAATAAGAAAAACAAAATAAGAGTTATCTCATACATACAGAAAAAGCAGGTGACAAAATTCAACATACACTCATGACGGAAACTCTCAGCAAACTAAGAACAGAAGGAAACTTCCTTAATCTGATAAAGAGCATCTATGGAAAATCCACAGCTAACATATTTAATGGTGAAATTTGAATGTTTTCCCCCTATGATCAAAAACAAGGCAAAGATAAATGCTCTCACAACTTCTATTTCAACTATTATGAAGATACTAGCCAGTGGAATAATAAGGCAAAAAAAATAAAAGACATACAGATTGAAAAGGAAGAAATAAAACTGTCTTTATACATAGATGATATGACTATTTATGCAGAAAATCCTACAGAACCTTTAAAAAGCCACTAGACTAGTAAGAGAACATAACTGGGTCACAAAATACAACTGGAAACTGGTATTAAAATAAGTGCTATTTTGGGCTGGCCCCGTGGCTTAGCAGTTAAGTGCGCGCGCTCCGCTACTGGCGGCCCGGGGTTCGGATCCCGGGCGTGCACCAACGCACCGCTTCTCCAGCCATGCTGAGGCCGCGTCCCACACACAGCAACTAGAAGGATGTGCAGCTATGACATACAACTATCTACTGGGGCTTTGGGGGCGGGAAATAAATAAATAAAATTAAAAAAAAAATAAGTGCTATTTATAATAACATCAAAAAACTTGAAATACCTAGGGAAATTTTTAATAATATATGTCCAAGAGTTACACACTGAAAACTAAATAACAGTAGTGAAAGGAATCAAAGACCTAACTAGAGAGAGATAAACCATGTTTATGGATTGCAGGACTCAATATTGTTAAAAATGTCAGATTTCCACATATTAATCTATAAATCCACTACAATCCAGGAAGTATTTTTGCAGAAACTGACAGGCCAATTCTTAAAGTGCAGATGGAAATGCAAAGTACGAGAATGGCCAAGTCAATTTTGAAAAAGAAGAACAAAGAAAATACTCATCGCAATTGGATTTCAAGGCTTACTATAAAGTTACAGTAATCAAGAAAGTAAAGTATAGGGGCCAGCGCCATGGCGTAGCAGTTAAGTGCGTGCACGCCACTGCTGGCGGCCCGGGTTCGGATCCCAGGCGCGCACCGAGGCACCGTTTGTCAGGCCATGCTGTGGTGGCGTCCCATATCAAGTGGAGGAAGATAGGAACAGATGTTAGCCCAGGGCCAGTCTTCCCCAGCAAAAAGAGGAGGATTGGCTTGGATGTTATCTCAGGGCTGATCTTCCTCATAAAAAAAAAAAAAGTATAGATAAAAGAAAAGATAGATCATAAAGACAGATCAAAGAAAAGAGTCCAGAAAAGATCCACACTACATGGTCAACTGATTATTAGCAAAGGTATCAAGGCAATTCAATGGGGAAAAAATCTTTTCAACAAATGGAGCTGAAAATAGAGGATATACATTTAAAAAAACTTGATCTTTACTTCATACCACTTACAAAAATTAACTTAAAATGGATCATAAACCCAAAATTTAAGAGCTAAAAGTATAAAACTTCTTGAAGAAAGCATAAGATTAAATCTTAGTGTCTTTGGTTAGGCAAAATGTTCTCAAATAGGACACAAAAAGCACAAAGTAGAGAAGAAAACTGATAAACTTGACTTCATCAAAATTTAAAACTTTTGCTCTTCAAAAGACACCATTTATAGGGGCCAGCCTGGTGGCATAGTGGCTAAGTTCAGGCACTCTACTTCGGTGGCCCGAGGTTCGCAGGTTCGGATCCTGGGCACAGACCTACGCACCACTCATCAAGCCATGCTGTGGGGGTATCCCACATACAAAACAGAGGAAGAGGGGCACAGATGTTAGCTCAGCGCTAATCTTCCTCAGCAAAAAGAAGAAGATTGGCAACGGATGTTAGCTCAGGGCCAATCTTCCCCACACACACAAAAAAATGACACCATCTATAAAATGAAAAGGCAAGTCCAGAGAGTTGGAGAAAATACTTGTAAAACGTATCTAACAAGAGCTTGTATCTATCTAGAATACATAAAGAACTCTTATAACACAATAATAAGAAAATAAACAAATAATAATTGGGCAGAAGGTTTCCACAGTCATTGAATTCGCCAAAGAAGATATACCAATGGCAAATAAAAACATGAAAACATGCTCAACACCATTAAATATTAGGGAAATACAAATTAAATTCACAAGATACCACTATACACCCATTAGTGTGAAGAAAATTTAAAAGAATGATGATCACAAGAAAACTATACACCAATATCTCTTATGAATGTAGATGAAAAAATTTGCAACAAAATACTAGCAAACTGAACGCAGCAACATATAAAAGGATTATACTTGTGACCAAGTGGGATTTATCCCAGGAATGCAAGGTTGGTTTAATATGGTAAAATCAACTAATGTAATATACCATATCAACAGAATAAAGGACAAACACCACACAATCATCTCAATAGACACAGAAAAAGCATTTGACAAAATCCAAAACACTTTCATGATTAAAAAAACACTCAAAAAACCAGGAAAAGAAGGGAACTTCCTCAACCTGATTAAAGGTATCTACCAAAACCCCACAGGTAACATCATACTTAAAAGACTGAATGTTTCCCCCATAAAATCAGAAACAAGATGAAGATGTCTGCTCTCACCACTTCTATTCAACATTGCACTGGAAGTTCTAGCCAGGGCAATTAGGCAAGAAAATAAATAAAAGGCAATAATATTGAAAAGAAAGAAGTAAAACTACATTTGCAGATGAGGTGATCTTCCACATAGAAAAT